AGCCTATATATAGCCTCGTGTTGTACCCAGGTGATTCATTCAATTCGATTCAATTCAAATTCTCTTTTCAGAGCTTGATCCTAGATCCTCAGACTTGGTAATCAGAGCGAGTTTTCACGAGAGGTCTTCAACCGCTTAGTTTCGGCCCTTAAAAAACCGCGAGGGCGATGACGAAAGCGCCGATACGGGTATGTAAAACTAGTTCCGCGAAATTTTTTGAAGTCCCCCTCGATTCGGTTTTAGAACACCCCTCAGATTTACTGGTGGAAAGGTTGGAGTTTCGACTGTTCGATCGAGTTTCATCGCAACGGCCTAGAGAATTTCGCCCAAAAAAGTTGGAATTTGGAACGTCGGATTGATTTTCTCCTCAACGGCCAAGATCGGACGCGAATTTCGCTCGGGGGAGATATACGCGACCTACAGAATTTGCGCTCGTCGATCCGATAGTCAACTTGACTCGCAGTAAGTCGACCAACACTTAGAATTCGATTATTTTCGTCGCACATCTTCCTGTAAATTGCCAAATGGAGGGAAAAAGATATATTTCAGTACAGAAAATCACGGAGTTACGTGCTGAGCATTAGCAAATACATGCGGCGCTCCCACGACTCGAAAAACTCCTTGCAAAGCAGTCGGCAACCGCCACAGCAGCAGCGACAACAGTAGCAGCAGCAGCAGCGGCAACACCGACAATTCTACATGCGACAACGGCAGCAGCTACAGTTAACCTCGAAGCAGTGAAGCCGAGGCTACCGGAGGCGTTCGAACCAACAGTAAAAAGGAACGACGTTCGTCGACTTGTAGTTGAACTCGAAATTTACTTCGAAGCGGTTGGATGCACGACCCCGACAAAAGACGCAATGCGCATACGGCTCGCAGCAACACTATTACGAGGCCCAGCTCTAGAGTGGATTAACAACAGAATAGTCCAAGGAGAGGGGACGTGGGCGCAGTTTCCGGCAGCACTGATCGAACAGTTCGACACGTTGAACAGTAGCTACTACGGAACACGACGCAACAAGCCAACTAGTGGCATGGGGCGATTGGCACCACCCATGACTGCCGACCCGATGGAGAACGACGAGGGCGATGTGGAGCAACGGCTAGCAAATAATGAGACGTGCAAATTTTGCGGCGCTACATGACATCGTATCTTGGCGTGTTCGAAAATGAAGAGAAGGTGTACGGAGCTGAAGGACAAGACCAGTGCGGCACCCCCGAAGCAGCAAACGGACAACGTGGCAACTTCGGAGAGGGTGAAAAAAGGAGAATATTGTGGCGCAAATTTAAAACGTCACGACCAGCCGGCACCAGGGGAAATCGCCGAGACTAATGGAGGATCTGCGAAACAAGATCCTGCACCGACCGGGAAACTCCATCCGTATACCCCGACAAGTAAGAATATTACTTCTCGTGGGTTTCAAGCCTTTATTAAGGGAGAGTCAGAAATTAAACCGGTATCGGGTATTATGGGGACCCTACTCCAGAGCGCTAATACGGGTGGAGCGTTCCGAGGAGTTAATATTCTCTCCCAGCAACACTGTTTCAAGGCTCCTTGTTCCCCACAGATGAAGCCTACACAGCTGCAAAGGCTTAGTGGAAGGTTCCAGGCCCAAGAGAAGCCGAATCGGCCTTGGATAAATCCTTCTAACCTTTCTCAGTTGAAAACTGATACTGAAGCTGCATCTTCGAGCGCAGGATCTAGGGATAACATATTCGACGTACCCTACGATCCTATAAGCGATACCATCTACGGATACTCGGAGCAGCAGCAACCACTAGTACTCGAGGTGATCTGCAACGGGCGTCGCCTCCAGGCCCTGGTGGACAGTGGTGCGTCCCACTCGGTGTGCGACCGCGGGACGTTGGAGAAAATTGTAGAATGTTGAGAAGAAACCCAGTTTACAGCAACGATGGTGGACGGTACGAAGCTTCCCATCCACGGCAAGTCAACACTACAGCTGCAGTTAGGGGCGTTGAGGTGGAAGCCGACGTTGCCGATCACGAACATCAAGGGATTAGATTTCATCTTGGGGCGAGATTTTCTGAAGCGGTTCAACCCCGAGATTGACTGGGTCAACCGGAAAACATGCATCTACAACAACGGGAAACGAGTGGAGCTGCGAAGCTAGACGGATACAGGGAGCGTTCCTCAAACGACACTGGCATGGTTCGAACGGACAGTGAACGAGAGTAACACGGGTTACTTAGCACTGGTTAGAACAGCAGCAGAGGAGGAGGTCTTGGAGCAGTACAAGGATATAATGCCCAACGACCTACTCGCAAGCGTACCTCCAGCACGCACCCACGAGCACGAGATCGTGGAGGAACCAGGTGCGAAACCCGTCCCACGTGCACCATACTGACTGAGTCCGACCGAACTAACAGACATGAAAAAAACAGATAGAGTATCTACTGGACAGACAACTGATCCGCCCATCCACCTCTCCCTACGGTGCACCAGTTCTCCTCACTCCAAAGCCAGATGGTAGTTTACGGATGTGCATCGACTACCGCGCACAGAACAAACAGACAGCACTGACTACAGCGCCAGTACTCATCCTACCGGATCCAGCCAGAGACTACGTGGTGGAAGCAGACGCTAGTGACCAAGCAGTCGAAGCAGTACTGATGCAGCATCACGAACGCAGTTTGCAGCCCATCGCCTACCTCAGTAAGAAGCTGTTACAGTGGGAGAAAGACTTAGCGGTAAGGAAGGGTTCAGGAAAGATTTGGGTACCGAATTACGCCCCGCTACGGCAGATCCTATTGGAGGAGTTTCACGACGTACGTTACGCGGGACATTTCGGGAGCAACAAGACGTTAGCAGGGATAGCGAAGTATTACTACTAGCACGGGATGGCAGCAGACGTGCAGCAGTTTGTCACCTCTTGCGACACGTGCCAGTGGATGAAGAGTAGCAAGCAGAAAAAAGCAGGGTTACTTCAGCCTCTACCCGTACCGGAGCAGCCATAGCAGGTCGTTAGCCTCGACTTCATCACAGGACTCCCTTCGACCTCACGGGGGCACGATTCCATCCTCGTAGTAATCGATAAGTTCTCCAAAATGGGTCACTTCATACCGACCAACGCCACAGCTACAGCTGAAGCAACTGCTCGCCTCTTCTTCGACCGCATCATCACCATCCACGGCATCCCCGCTACACTCATCTCAGACAGAGACCCAAAATTCACCAGTAAGTTTTGGAAGGAGCTCATGGGACTGTTGGGGACAAAGCTTGCGATGTCTTCAGCATACCACCCCCAGACTGACGGACAGACAGAGCGACTCAATCAAGTGGTTGAACAGTTACTACGCACAACTTGCAAGGACGACGTCAGCCAGTGGGACACACAGTTACCGACCCTAGAGTTTGCTTACAACAACACCTCACATGCGGCCACAGGGAAAACTCCTTTCTTCCTGTGTTACGGACGGGAACCACTCACACCACAGCAGCCAACCACACCGGCACACGTCCAAGCCGCAAATGACTTCTTCACCACCATGCAGCAGCTATGGGAGAAGACTCAACAGCGACTCACGACGATACAGACCTCCCAGAAGTAGTATGCCAATCGTCAGCAACGTGATCACTCAGTAGCAGTCGGAGATCAGGTGCTTCTTGACACGCGCAACTTGAACCTGTCTCACCTCCCATCCAAACTCCGGCCTCGCTTTTGTGGTCCTTTTCTCGTTGAGGCACAGGTGACACCAGTAACATTCCGCTTGCGCTTACTAGATACATGGAACCTTCACAACGCTTTCCATGTCCAACTACTGAAACTCTACAAGGACCCCAACCAACAGTTCCAAGGACGGCAACTACCCCCACCACCACCTGTTCTCATACAGGATGAACCAGAGTACGAGATCGAGCGCGTTCTCTCTCATCGGCACCGTGGCGGCAAGGCCCTCAAGTTCCTGATACGCTGTAAGGGATACGACCCCACTGAGGATATTTGGGTTGCAGAAGTTGATATGGGCAACGCACGCCGTGCTCTCAAGGACTATCTTGTCAAGCAGGGTGTATCTCACGCCACCCAGCTTTGAGGGGGGGACGTGTGAGAGTACGACGGCTTATGCTAGCTATGCTTGCTTGCCTTTACTTTATTATGCTATTTCTAGCATAGGATAATTATATGCATGCATGAATTGCTTGATTTCCTAGGCCAGCTGCTTTCCTATATTTTATTATAGTTATAGCACCGAGCTAGGTTGCGTGCACCGAATTCTGGCTTTTCGGTTGCCACTGAATTGCCTTCTACCGAATTTGGGAAGGATCTGTTCGGGACGCTTCGCGACCCGCGGAACCTTCGAGGCCTATATATAGCCTTGTGTTGTACCCAGGTGATTCATTCAATTCGATTCAATTCACATTCTCTTTTTTTAGCTCGATCCTAGATCCTCCTAGATCCTCACATCGCCCGCCCGCCGCGTCGCGCGCCCTTTAGCCGCGTCGCCCGCCCTGCTGCTTCGCGCGCGCTGCTTCTGCGACGCCCGCCCTGCTGCGTCGCCCGCGCTGCTGCTGCGACGCCTGCCCTGCTGCGTCGCGCGCCCTGCTGCCGCCTTGCCCGCCCTGCGGCGCTGCGCGCCTTGCTGTTGCCTCACCCACCCTGTGTCGAACTTATATGCTATAGTCTTTGTAGGCTGTAGTGGGGTAGACAGTACGGGGTACAGCTTTCTAGGGTTTCATATTTGTACCCAACTCATTTCCTATTTCATTCATTCCTCATTTCTTCACACGCTGCTGCGTCTCGCGCCTGCTGCCGTCTCGCCCGCCCTGCTGCGTCACGCTTCCTGCTGCTGCGCCGCCCGCCCTGCTGCGTTGCACGCCCTGCTGCCGCACGCCCTGCTCGTCGCGCTCCCGGCTGCCGCACGCTGTGCCTCACGCGTTACCTGTGCTAGTGCCCTCCTGCAGCGCGCCCTACCTGAGCCCTGCTCGCCTGTCGCGCGCCCTGCTTGCACACTACTCCTGCTGCTCGTCACCACCTAGCACTATGGCCACCCTTCGTGTTCTTTCCTTCAACACTGAGGGCCGCCCTGTAGAGTTCGACTCCTGGCTAGATGACTTGCAGCTCTACCTCATTAGCACCAGCAAAGACGAGATCTCACTCTTTGACCACACCTCCGGGGCCCTAGCCGCTCCTGCTGACATAGCTACCCTTAGCGAGCGCTCTCAGTGGCTGACGCGCAATGCTGCTACCCGCCTTGCTATTCGCAACCACTTGCCGCTAGCGGAACTCAAGCACTTTGGCGAGCACAAAACCGCTAAGGCCCTGTACGACGCTGTAGTTGCTCGCTACTCCTCTCCTGCCACTGCTCCGCTCAGCCGCCTCATGCTGCCGTACCTGTTCCCCGAGCTGTCGAGCTTTGCCACCGTAGCCGACCTCATCACCCACCTTTGCTCTAGTGACGCTCGTGTCCGTGCCACACTCCGCAAGGAGTTTGTTGCCCAGCACCCCCCTCTGATGTACTGGACGCTCCACTTTATAGCGACCCTCATCCCTCACAACCTTCGCTCAGTCAGGCACCACTTCCTAGCGCGCTGTCCCTCCGACCTTACCATAGACCTCCTAGAGGAGCACCTCTTAGCCGGTGAGAGTAGCATTGTTAGTGTGGCTGCTGCTCGTGGCGCTCCTCGCACCCCCATCTTTGAGGGGTGCGCTTCTTCCCCTCTTGCCCCCTCCTACGCCACTGCTGCTGCCGTAGACTTCTTCAGAGCCGACTCGATTGGTGCTGCCTCCGCTTCTACCGGGCGGCGCCGCACCGGCAAGGGCAAGGGGGGCAAGGGCGGTGGTGGCGGTGGCGGCGGAGGAGGAGGTGGAGGAGGTGGGTGTGGCGGTGGGAGTGGAGGCAGTGTAGGCGGGGGTGCTGGTGGGAGTGGCAGCGGCGGTGGGGGAGGTGGTGGTGGTGGCGGCGGCGGTGGGAGTGGAGGTGGTGGCGGTAGTGGCGGTGGTGGAGGCAGCGGAGGCGGTGGCGGTCGTGGTGGAGGCGCTGGTCAGAGACAGCAGCAGCAGCGGTCCCTTACGCCTCAGCAGCTTCATGAGTGGTTGGCTCAGAGGGGTACGTCTGGGGGTACTCGCTGTCCGTATGTCATTCCCACCGGTGAGCGTACTGGTCAGACATGCGGCAAGCCCCACCCCCAGCAGCGTTGCTTCTCCCGCCTTGACGACGCCTGGCGTGAGGAGAAGGGTGCAGAGGTTGAGACCCCTCGCTTGTTTGATCTGCTTAAGAAGGGTGTAGACATCTTTGCTCTTGACTATGATGTTATTCTTGCTGCCATGTATGCATTGTCTATTAGTGCTGAGTGTGACTGCTACCTGTGTCTGCCGCCGGATCCAGGTATAGAACCAGGAGCTCTTGGTGCTTGCAAGTCTACGCTCTCAGGTACCGCGTCTGCTGCCTTAGGTGCGGGTGAGTCAGCTCTGTCAGGTACTGCGCCTTCTACCTCCTTGCACACCTTCACTCTTGACTCAGGTGCTTCCAGCTGTTTCTTCCGTGACAGCACAGCCCTCACACCGCTCCCTGCACCAGTTGCAGTCTCCCTGGCTGACCCCTCGGGAGGTCCAGTCCTTGCACGGTCTACCACTGTGCTTTCTTGCCCAGCGGTCCCGTCTGGTTTGCTGTCAGGTCTCCACCTCCCCTCGTTCTCTACGAACTTGGTGAGCAACGCTGTCCTTCAGGACTACTGGGTTGATACCTTCACCCCTGGAGGACAGCGTGTGGCGATCTGTACGTGCTCAAGGACTGGGCGACACCTGGCCACGTTCACGCGTGTGCCAGGGTCGAGCCTTGACACACTGACCACTGTGTCTCCACAGGTCGCTGCTGACGGTCAGGCGTCTGCATCAGGTCAGCTAGACTCCCCTTGCTCGTGTCACTCCCTGTTGCAACAGACCGTTCTCTGGCACCACCGTCTGGGCCACACCTCCCTGCCCCGTCTTCGTGACATGCACCGTCACATCCTTGTGTCTGGTCTTCCCCGGACCCTGCCTCCCCTCCCTGCTTCGCCTGCCCCGACCTGCCTTCCTTGCGTTGAGGGGCGGCAGCGTGCCGCTCTTCACTCCTCCTTTTTTCCTTCGACAGAGGCTCTGCTGCAGACTCTCCACATGGACGTGTGGGGCCCTGCTAGCGTCAGCGGACGGGGTGGAGAGCGGTACTTCCTGTTGGTAGTTGACGACTACTCACGTTACACCACGGTCTTCCCCTTGCGCACCAAGGGTGAGGTCCCTGCTATCCCGATCCCTTGGATCCGAGCGGTTCGTCTCCAGCTACGCAGAAGGTTTCACACCGACCTCCCTGTTCTGCATCTACACTCTGACAGGGGCGGAGAGTTCGCCTCCGACCTCTTGTGTGGCTTCTATCAAGAGGAGGGCATCACCAAGTCTTACACGCTTCCGGGCTCACCTCAGCAAAATGGGGTTGCTGAGCGCCGCATTGGCCTGGTCATGGAGATCGCTCGTACCTCCTTGATCCATGCGGCGGCTCCCCATTTTCTGTGGCCGTTTGCCGTCCGGTACGCCGCACAGCAGCTCAACCTCTGGCCCCGTGTCTCCATTCCGGAGACCTCGCCCACACTGAGGTGGACGGGGGAGGTTGGTGATGCGTCGGTGTTCCGGGTCTGGGGTGCCCGTGCTCTTGCTTGCGATACGTCCTCGGACAAGCTCTCCTCCTGCACCCTTCCCTGTGTCTTCCTCGGCTTTCCGACTGACACGCTTGGCTGGCAGTTTTACCACCCCGCCTCGCGTAGTGTCCTGTCTTCTCAGGACGCCACCTTTAACGAGTCAGTCCCTTTCTACCGCCTCTTTCCCTACCGCACTACCCCTCTCCCTCCCTTGCCGCTATTCCTCGCTCCAGGTCCCCCTCCGGTAGACCCCCTTCCCCCCCAGGGTCCTGCTCCTTCAAGTGTGTCTCAGGTAGACCCACCCCCCTTCGCTGAGCCTGTCGAGGTCACCAGCGACTTAGGTGCTGCTGAGGGTGGTCCTGCTCGAGGTGCTGTGTCTGGAGGTTTTGAGCCACGGCGTGAGGTACTGGAGGGTGCGGGGCCTGAGGGTGCTGAGCCGGTGCGTGAGGTGCTGGAGGGTGCGGAGTCTGGGGGTGCTGTGCCAGTGCGTGAGGTCCTGGAGGGTGCAGAGCCTAGGCGCACTGAGATGGAGGGAGCTGGACCGGTTTCTCGCCGGCCCCTTACACCAGAGGAGCTGCGAGAGTGGTTTGCGTTTCGTCAGCTACTGCGGAGGCGTCCTGGATTTGGCGGTACTACAGCTGGAGCTGGAGACACTTGTGCTGCTAACACCACAAGCCCTAGAGGTGCTCGTACTGGAGGTACTCGAGCTGCCGAGGCCGGTAGTGTTGGAGGAGGTCCTGCTGTAGACTCTGGCACTAGAGGTACCGGGTCTGGGGGTGCTGCTGCTGGAGGTACTGGAGCTGGAGACCCTCGAGCTGCTGGTTCTGTTCTGGGGGTGCTGCTGGAGCTGGAGCTGCTGGAGGTGCTGCTAGAGCTGCCGATGGAGCTGGTGGAGCTGGTGGAGCTGCTGGTGGTGCTGCTATTGGTGCTGCTGGTGCTGGAGCTGCTGGAGGTGCTGCTCGAGCTGCCGGTGGAGCAGGTCGAGCTGGTGGAGCTGCTGGTGGTGCTGCTGTTGGTGCTACTGGTGCTGGAGATGCTGGAGGTGCTGCTGGAGCTGCCGGTGGAGCTGGTGGAACCGTTGGAGCTGCTGGTGGTGCTACTACTGGTGCAGCTAGTGCTGGAGCTGATGGAGGTGCTGCTGGAGCTGCCGATAGAGCTGGTGGAGCTGCAGGTGCTGCTGGTGGTGCTCTTGCTGGTTCTGGGGGTGCTGAGCGGCCGCGGCCGTACTTCCTTCCGCTCCTTGAGCAGGTTCTTGGTCTCCCGCCTTCTCCTAGTCCACCCCCTTCCTTGGAGTGTCCACCGCCTGTCCTATTGCCGTCACAGCTACAACCCACCTCCCCGCTGCCTGCTCTGTCTCCTTACGCTAGTCCGACAAGAGTTCTTGCTGAGCGTCGTGAGCCTGCGTCTTGTCCAGTGTCGCCTTTTCATGGTGCTCGCGCTAGTCGTCGTAGTTGTCGGAAATACTCTGCATGGCCCCTTTCTCCTGACTCCCGCCGGCAATGCCTGTAGCCCCCTGGGTCTCCCTTCCCCTCCCCACTTGTCTCTCCTTGGACTCTCCCCTCCCCCCCCACTCTCTCTTGTTCTTGCTATGGGGTACTACCAGCGCCCTAACTGCTGTATACTGTGTGCCGTGTGGCAGCGTTCCAACGTGACACCTCACTGGTCAGAAAATCTCCTTCCCACTACTGGCTGACAAGCTGGTTCCCTAGCGGGCTCATGACTGCCTGTGACTGGGTTAACAGGATTACATTGGAGCAAACGGGAAAAATACAACGAAGCAGCCAACACTAGGGTTTTAGCTCTGCTATGTATAAGACAACCTTGCTGCCCTAGCCTGGCGCTTCTAGCAAGCAAACATCACATGGGCGAGGCTCGGGGTGCCGAGCCATATTTACAAACCGCAGGCGCTCTGAATCTGCATGGGCTCCAGCGCAAGCCCTTCGCCAGCTGCAAGCTTGGCGTGCATGTTCAACTGCAGCTTCTGCCACCTGTCGGTTGTGCTGTGCTTATTCGCGTCAACAGCTCTCGCCCTGCACAGGATACAAACGAAACATACACCCACCCCAACTCATACACCCACCATTCTCATGCATGCATTCTTAAGCGTTATTTACAAATATGTACACCCACCCTTCTTCCCTCCGCCCTTTTAGATTCAGCTTCTGCTACATCCTCCCACTCTCCCTGCTGCCAACTCTTGGCGCTGTCTCGGTTACTATGCGGCCCTCTTGGCTACATAAACCGCGACAGCTGTCGGAAATACTCTGCATGGCCCCTTTCTCCTGACTCCCGCCGGCAATGCCTGTAGCCCCCTGGGTCTCCCTTCCCCTCCCCACTTGTCTCTCCTTGGACTCTCCCCTCCCCCCCCACTCTCTCTTGTTCTCGCTATGGGGTACTACCAGCGCCCTAACTGCTGTATACTGTGTGCCGTGTGGCAGCGTTCCAACGTGACACCTCACTTGCCCCCTCTGGAAGAGACTAGGGCTCCTGTTGGCTCTGATCCAGACCACTCAAACTCCTACATCGCGCCCTTGCTGTATTCGTGGTGTGGTCCTGGACCCTCCTACCCTGCTGATTCTCCAGCACCACCACTCCAGACTCTCGGACCTCTACCACTCTCCAGCGTTCCTCGCTGAGGCCACGGTCCAACGTGTGCTGCCGCGCAGTCCTGCGATACACTTCCTGCCCTTCCTGCAGCTGCCCTCCACATGTTGGCCTCTGCCCCCTGAGCCTCTGCTGGTACCGATGCGCGTCTCGCAGCTGAGCCACATGAAGATTCTCTAACGCTGAAGGCAGAAGCGCTCGTAGGTAATCCCTCTTGGCCTTGGCCAGTGCTGCCCACAACTCTGGGGTTCCTGCTATCACCACATCAGACAACACTTTGGGCGCCCCTACCGGCAGCATCGGCTCTCTGCCATAGAGCAGATAGTATGGGGACACATCTCGCAGCGCCGCCTGCTTGCTGAACCGGTACCCCGCAGCGACCCAGTGCAGATCCTCATCCCAGCTGCGCTTGTGTGCCTCTCCATACGCCCGTAGCCCTCGCTTGAGTGTTTGCACCATCCGCTCTGTGAGGCCATCTGCTTGTGGATGATACCGGGAGGTCTTCCTGTGCGTAATCCCGATAACTGCCAGCGCCTTGTCAAACTCCCCCCGAAACTCTGTGCCCTGATCCGTGAGCACTTCACCACATGCCCCCATCCTGGTGAGCACTTGCTCCGTGAAGGCTTCCGTGACTAGTGCCGCGCTCTTGCTGCTAAGCGCGCGCACCTCCACCCACTTGCTGACATGCTCTATCATGACCAAAATGTACCGCTTGCCTCGCCGGCTGAGAGGCAATTCCCCCGCCAGATCCAAGGACCATCTGTAGCCCAACCCACGGATGGGGAGCGACTGTAGCTCTTGCTGGCTCTTCTCCAACTGGGCCTTATTGCGGTCGCAAGCCTCACATTGCGCCACCCGTTCCTTAATCTGTCGCGCCATGCCTGCCCACCACCAGCCCGTGTTGACCAGCTGGGTCGTCCTGACGTGCCCGAAGTGCCCCAACTGTCGGTGCACCCTGTCAATGATGCCTTCTCGTTCCGCTGGCGCGGGCACCAGCTTCCACCCCTCCTTGGTCCTCAGCTGTACCTGCCCCGCATACCACCTGTAGTGCTGTCCCCTTGCCCGTGCTCTCTCTGAGGTAGGCTCTTCTGCCTCCGTCTCTCCCCGCAGCCACCTGAGAGCTTCTTCGTCTTGCCATATATCGGCCGCTCCGCGCTGCTCCTGACGCTGCTCCCCCTGCTTTTCTGCTTCTCTTGCCAGAGCCACGAGCCCAGCCACTGGCTCTGCCGCTGGCGGGTTACGCGATAGCCCATCCACGTGCTGAAGCGTCCGGCCTGGCCTGTGCTTCACCACGAAATCGAATTCCTGCAACCGCATGGCCCACCGCACGTTGCGGCCTGTCAGCGTATGATTAGTCATTAGCCACAGCACCGGCTGGTGGTCTCTCACCAGTGTGAACTCGCGCCCTTGCAGATATACTCGGAAATGCGTCACCGCCCAGACCGCCGCCAACCCTTCTCCCTCGTAGGAGCTGTAGTTTGCCTCCGCTGCGTTGCAGCTGCGACTCGCAAAGGCCACCACCCTCTCCCCCTGATCAGTCTGTTGGCTGAGCACTGCTCCCATGCCTGCGCTGCTCCAGTCAGTGTACAGCACGAACCTGGCCTCTGGCTTCGGCAGCAGAAGCACCGGTCCCGCCTTCACAGCTTCCAGCAGGTCCCGTAGTGCCCCCTGCTCGGCCTCTCCCCACTTCCAGGCCACGTCCTCCCGCAGCAGCCTATTCAGCGGAGCCGCCCGCCTGCTGAAGTTCGGCACGAACTTACGGTAGTAATTCAAGAAGCCCAGAATTGCCCTCAGCGCGGAGCGACCACTCGGGGTCGCCAGGTTGTCCAGCACTGCGACCTTCGCTTGCTGAATGGTCATTTGGCCTCCACCCACTTCAAAGCCCAGATACCGCACCGTATTCGTGCCGAAACGGCACTTTTTGGGGTGGCATGTGAGTCCGGCTCCCCTGATAGCTTCCAAGACCTGCTGCACATCCTTCACGTGCTGCTCAGGCGTTGCGCTGAACACAACTACGTCGTCTATGTAGCAGGCCGCGCAGTGTTGCAACGCTCGCAGCACCCGGTCCATTGCCTTCTGGAATACTGCCGACGCGTTCTTTAGCCCGAAAGGCATGAACAACCATTCGTACAGTCCGTCCGGCCCATGAAAAGCGGTCTTCCTCACATCCGCGTCCGTGATTCGTATTTGATTAAATCCCTGGCGAAGATCCAGCGTGCTGAAGATCGCTGCCCCCTGCAACTTGTCGAATATCTCCTCTGGCGTGGGCATGTGATAGCGATTCGCCACCGTCAGCTTATTGAGGTCCCTGTAGTCTCCGCACATGCGTCGTGACAGCACTTCTCTTGTGAGTTCTTTCCTCGCGGCCACCACGGTGGCAGCCGCATACTCCGACTCAGAGGGCCTGATGAGCCCTGCCTCTAGCAATTCCCGACACTTCTCTCTGCACAGATCGAGATCTCCTGGGCTCATGGGGCGTTTGCGCTGGTACACCGATACCTCCTCCGTCAGCCGAATCTCCATCTCTCCCTCGTTGTATTTGCCGAGCTCCGGCAGTGTGAAGGCAAATGCCTGTCGGAGCCTCCTCAGCACGCTCCACATCTGCTCCCGCAGGTCTCCCTTCAACCCTTCTCCTACTTCCCATGCTCCATCCTCCTCTGCTGCTGGTCGGCCTGCCACTGTGCTTCCCCCTCCTTCTGTCTCGGTCTCCGGTTCCGACCCCGCCCCTGGCTCTTGCTGCCCCATGCTCGTCTCTGCCACCCCAGCCCCGTTTGGTGACATCGGCTCGCCGGCTGCCACCGCTTCTCTTCTTGCCGGCAAAACTTCCAGCGCCATTAGAGCCCAACCTCGCTCTCTCTGCTGCTGCCTTTCCACCTGCAGGTCCAACAGCCGCTGTTCAGCCCTCTGCCGCCACCTCCCTGATGTCGTAGATCGATTCTTCTTCCGCCTCTGCTTCTACCCCCAACATCAGCTGAGCCGGGTAGATCCCTCTTAGCTTCCTTGCATGGTTGAAGGCCATTCTGCGCACCACAGGATCTATCTCCACTAGTATCCACTTCTGTATTCTGCATCCCGCCTTTGGTGCTGCAGCCAGCCCCGTTCCGATCCCTCTGAACAGCTCGACAATGGTGATCGGTTCCTGCAGGTGCGTTAGATCTGTCAGCCTTGGGGGCAGCGCCAAGGGCCGCTCGGTCCTTTCTTCTTCCGCTTTGCGCGTCTCCTACTCCAGCACGTATTGCTTCCAGGACCAATCTTCAATCTGCTCTTCCACTTGCGCCATGCGCACTGGAAAGGCTTCCCTCGGCTCGCGTCTGACAAAGTGCACAGGTAGGGTGCCCACGGGCCCATCGTTCCTCCAGTACTGAGTCTGGTAGAGGACCTTCTCTTGCCAGGTGCAGATGGTGGCTCCCACCCGATACAACAGTTCCATGCCTATCAGCAAATCAAAATCCTCTGACGGCGATATGCCGCACCGCATCCGGATTCGACATTCGTCCTTGGTGCCAGGCTGCAGGATCACTTCCACTGGCATGCGGGTGCAGGGCATCCACTTCGGCTCTCCTCCCTCTGCCGTCATCACCAGGATTCCCCGTGTAATCAGCCGGTTCGGCAGATCTATTTCCAGCCTCTGAGCCAAGCCTTTCCCCAGGAGGATATGATGTGCTCCGGTGTCGATGATCGCTTGCGCCACCGTCACCCCTCCCACCGTGATTGCCCCCTTTTCGATTGTCAGCACCGATGGCTGACACACCATGCGCTCCTTGGGAGGTCTTTCTGATGTCATTTCTTGCTCCGGCTCAGCCGCGTACCCACGAAACCGCCTGACCCTCGGGGCGGGCAGCTCTCTCCTTTCCCCTTGATCACTCTTGAGCTCTATCTCCTCTCGCTGCCGTTGCGCCCGCACCACAAGCACAAACTCTGCTTCGCTACTCCCCTCCTCCTCCTCTCTTGCCAGCATGGCGGCCTCCTTGTGCGCCGAACCTTCTAGCTCCCGGATCCGTGCTTGC